ATGTTCGATAAAACAATCAATTTTTTGTAAATATAGAATAATAATTGACGTGAAATGAATTAACTGTTTTTTATTTATATTACATGAACATGAAAACATGAAATAATTTTCAACCATTTCGATATTGATGGTTACTAATATGTTTTTAAAAAAATTTGTTAGCTACACAGATTTAGCAACTGAATAAATCATTGTCTAAATAACTGATTAAAAATTTTATAATAAAACAATCAATTATTTTTCAATCACTTTCTATAGTATTATTACTTTATCATTTTTTTCTTGATATTTGTCTCGTGTGGTATCAGCACATGCATAAATGCTTCCTCAACAACCGTGTCATTTATGCATGTATTACTGTTTGAACAAGAGAAAATAACAGAGGAATGAGATAGAGCATAAGAGGAAGGAGTTTAGCTAATTGTTGCTCAAAGTAAAGAGGAAGAGGCAGAAAAAACTCGTGTTTACTAATAAAAATTCAATTAAGAATCCAATAATATATAGTATAGTGTTTAAGACCATCCATGCCTCTTTCGTGACAATATTAATAATCAATCAATAGGATAATGAATTAGTGTTCAGCTAAGGTGAGGTGATGAACAGAGAGGTTCAAGAATTGACTCACAATGTATGCAATGTCCCTTGTTGCTTTGTTTTGAACGCATCCTCCCAAAGATGCAAAATATTCTTGAACCAGATTAGTTGGTTTTTTGGTTATGTAAATCTCAGATCAATTTCCTTGTGACAATCGTAACCAAATCAATAATTCTATCTATATAATTATATATGAAGTGTGAAATCCTACGTGGCGCCCTCAGAATGAATTTGAGGGTGGTTGATTACAGGGNTACCCTTAATAAAATTAANGTAATTACANCNCATGCCATCNAAATTTCGTGAGCNTTATATCCTTCATAAACAATAATTGGGTTTGGACCAAAATATTTTTGTAGNCCATGTTCATTAGTCGGTTTTGATACTGTTCAAAATAATTGGGTTTCGTTTGGGCTGTTCATAATTTTATGGGCTCTATTCAAATTTTTTTAATTATTTGTAAACCCATTAATATATGTCGGTTTTCATAAACCCTAGATTCTATCATTATTTTCTTATAAATATTGTCTGAGTG